AAGCAATGCTCCTCATCATGGACAACCTTAGTTGCAGGCTTACTCCCTTCCAGGAACTGAGTGTTCTTTCTCTGCATTATTGCGTTTAATTAAAAAGGACCATCAATAATAGCTAATGCCTAAATGTATGATGCCAAGTGCGCACCTGAACTATCACATAACCTGTATGGAACTAGGTACTATTGTTACCTTTCTCATCTCACAGATGAACTCAGGCACAGGGAGGTCGTTACCCACAGTAAACACCAAAGTTTAACCCAGGCACGCTGGCCTCAGAGTCCAGCTTCTTAGAGGGGCTTGCCCAACTCAGAGGGCTACTAGATGCTGTCCCAGGGACTTCAACCCAGGTCTGTTGGCTGTAGTGTCATTTCCGTTCCACTGTGCCATGCTTCTAGGGACCTTAAATGCTGATTTCTTACTCACCATAGCCTGTTGCCTCCCAGCACCAAACGCCTGGCCTGGAGAGCAAGGCCTGTGGTCACCATCTTTCTTGCTCACACACCTTCAGTGGCTGTCAGGTGCCACAGGGTCAGAGCCAGACTCAACCTAACATCTGAGGTCCTCAGAGACAGACTGGGCTGATCTCGTCACCCCGATTTCCCAGCTCACCCTGTGCTCATATTTCTAACCAGATAAACTGCTTGTTCCTCATCTGTCCCGAGCGCAGGGGTCAGACCCGGTACTCAGGGCCACAAAGCCCTGGGACACGTTCCTCTGGCAAACACATCCCCCCGCCTCACAGGGTTTATTACACAGAGGGGTTGGGGCTCAGTCCTGTTCAGCTGCTGCCTCCCTCGGGGCTGCAAGGACATTGCTCAGCTCCTCTCTCTTCCCCTTGGCACGGAAGTGTGCCCCCACCCTTTTCTCGATGAATTTCAGGGCCCTCTGGTCCTTTGAGGCCTTGAACAGCTCCATGGCAAGCCGTTCCCAGGGGGCAAAGCCACACGCCTCTCGGATCGTGTCCCACGTGACTCGGTGTGCTTGGTGAGGAACCCGCGGTGGCAGCCGCGCCTCCTCTCGCTCACGTTCTTTATCACCTTGTGGCCCTTGTTGAGGCCCACAGCCATGGGGTGGCAGAGAGCCATGGCCGCTGCTCCTCAGTGGCTGCTGCGGTGGAAGCCAAACTCGGTATTTTACATTGTTATTTCACGTTTGGTATCAATATGGGATCATGATTTCTCTCTCCCTTCCCTCCCCGCTGAGGTATTATAGTCTGATACTATTGTGATTTATGTTCATGTTCATATTGTCCCAGATTTGGCCACTAGGACGTCTCCAACCTGGCTTTTGTGTCCTTTTGACACGTCCCATTGTTCTTGTGGCATTTGCTTACTTTCTGGCTCAATGAGATGGTCCAGGCTCACACTGCAATTTCCCTGCCCCAGCCCCCAGAATCAGTCTTTTCTCCAAGGGGACTTGATTCGTTCTAGTGGAGGAATGGCATTTAGACAGTAGGATCTGGGTGCTCTGGGTGCTACAAGGGGTGTGGGATCACACCCCTTGGGATATTTCCTGTGGGATCTCTTAGCAGACGGAACTAGGAAGTACATTTACACGTGGTGTTTATAACTGAGAAGTTTCGCTTTAAAATCTGGACTTCTAGCTCCTCTTCAGAAACCTAAACATCTGATCATGATCAGCAGGGAAATGGCAACAATCAGCTGAAGCATTGTAGGGGTTCGACAATATTTGTTTTCTCACCAAAGTATTTAGACCACATTAACACTAATGTCTGATACTATGCAACACGAGACTACCCTACTTGAATACCTAGTTACACCCACCTTGCATGCTCAGAGGCTGCTGAGTTTCAATTTTCAGTACTTTCTTTTGCTTGCGTTCTTCCCTCCAGCTGGAAGGAAAGCTGGAGACCCTCACGTGTCCAACTCACTCAAAGCCCAGCTCCAATGTGACTTCTTCCTTGAGACAGTCCCCAGTTTGCCCGGTCACAGGCCCCCCTCTCTAGCCTCTAAGCTATAAATCCTCATAACATTTACCACCTTCAATTCTGAGTTATGGGTTTTTAGTTCATCCTCCTCCTGGTTTATTAACATTCCCTTTCTGATGAGACTGTACACTCCTTGAGGGCAGGGGCTGTGTCTGTTTTGCTCCCAGTGGAGCCCTTTAAATCTAACACCAATAAAAATTTCCATCAGAAACAACTACAATTGAACCTCTTGCTGCATGTAGGGCAGATAATAATGGTAGGAGTGTGAGCGAAACGGGTACAGTTATGTCCTCATGGACGTAATTGACTTCTGGGGGAGAGATAAGGTAGGATCACATAAGATGTATTTGTGGAATGATTTAAAAACAGATCATCTATATTTTCATGATTGTCCCCATATATATGCACCCTTTGAAAACATATAGTATTGACTGATGTTTTGTTTCCCATTTCAAGGTGTGTCTTTCTTTTTTCATTGCTCCTCGTGTCCTGCAGTTATGTGATCCTTTTCAACAGATACATAGGGGTCATTAATATGCATTCATCGTTCCCCTACTGATGGACATTTGGGGCATTTCTGGGTTTTGTTTTTGCATTGCAGACAGTGATGTAATGGGGATCTTCTGTACTTGTTTCTCTGGTAGAGGCCAGGAAATCAAATTGCTGGGTCATAAGATTACTTTTCTTTTTCTTTTTGTTTTATACACATCTGTATCATTGGAATTCATGTGTTACTTTTGTGATTGAAAAAATACATAAAATAGAAAGAAGTAGGTAGATTGTTCGTGTTGTTGGCTCTTAGGAAGCAGAGGTGCCAATCATTACGTGACTGTTATATAATCTGCTAATCATTATGTAAGAAAATCTGAAAAAGATGCTCCTGTGATTTCACATCGCCAACCAGGAAAATCTGGGCTTTTTAACCCTGTCTAAAAGATGAGAGAAATGGCTCTTGTCAGCAAATTTAGGTTTTTTCTTCCCTTTACAATTTTTTTTTATTGATTGATTTTAGAGAGGATGGGATAGAGAATGAGAAACATCAATTTGTTGTTCCATTTATTTATGCATTCATTGGTTGTGTTTTTTTTGTATGTGCCCTGACCAGAGATTGAACCCTCAACCTTGGCATATGGGGATGATGCTTTGACTAACTGAGCTACCTGGCCAGGGCCAGGTATTTTCTGATATGAAATATCACCAAGTCTCAATGACCAGGGTTTCCTACTGGTAAAGCCCTCTTAAAAATCTGTTTCCCTTTTTTCTATCACAGAACCAGACCTGGAAGGGACTTCTTAACAGGCTCACGTAGTCCTGCAACAATTTCCAAAGGACAGTTTTGTGTTGTTGCAAAGGCAGAGAGTTTGGGTGGAGCTGGAACTGCTGTAAACACCTTGTAGGTGATTTAAGAGAGAAGCTTAAACATGAGCTGAGGCTAAAGCACAATGCACAAAGACCTTGCGCGGTGCTCAGACGGCAACAAATAAATACAGTAATCGCTGCTGTTTGAATAGCAAGTTGCTGGTTCTCTAAATGCTTCCCCATGTAGTATATAATTGACTCCTGAGACAGACCCACCGGCTTTAGCTGGGGACACCAAGGCCGAGAGAGAGAATCCTCCAATTAAGAAACATCTGTTGGGCACCTCATGATCAGGCTTGTTCAGAGCTCAGGGAAAACATGGATGTACAAGGAGCCCCAGGTCTTGTGGGGGAGTGATGTTTAACAATATATGTAATCCACTGTGGTAAGAGTTGAGATCAGATCATGAAAGGCAGTGTTGTGGGGAACCAGAGGAAGGCTAGTCTTTACCTGGAGAAATCAGAGAAAGCTTCAGAAAGGATGTGAGGGCAGAGTTGGGGCTAGAAGCCAAGAAAGCGAGGAAAGAATGAGGTGAGGAAAAGGACATTCAGACGGAAGGAACAGCATATAGAGGCACAGAGGCCAGAGGGGTAGAAGAGCATGGTATGTGCCGGGAGCTGAGAGCATGTTTGAGGAAGAGAACTTGGCCCGGAGCGGGCTCTAGTCTTTAATAAATATCTGGGATAAGTTGAGAGCGATAGAACATAAGGTTCAGTTGCAGATCTGTTCAACAGTCTTGAGGACGTACTAGGCATTTTGCAAGCAGTAGGGATTCAGTGAACGGTGAATCATAAAAACTGACTCCTCGTGGTGGGTAGGAGAAGAGACAAACCCATGAAGTGAAGTAGCAAGCCAACAGTATTGAGGCCAATGTAGGCCACACGGGTACCACAGGTGCCTCTTGAGAAGTCACAAAGCGAGGAGGCAGTATCTTGGTCTCCCCCAACGCTGGCTTCTTTTCAAGGAAGTTGGGGACAAAGAGAGGTCATTTCCTTTCACATAACCAGATTTAAAAAGCAAAATGTATCTAGATCTTTATGCCAACTATTGTAATAATCGGTTTCCATATATGAACGCGTCTCACATGACTCCCAAGAGACGGTACTATTATTATTCCATTTTGCAGGTGGAAAAACTGAAGCTCAGAGAGGTAAAGTAACCTGCCCAAGGTCACGCAGCTAGTAAGTGACAAAGGCAAAGCTGGGACCCCTCTCTCAACGACAGCTTGTACCAACAGTCCTCTGTGGGCTGGATTCAGTCTCGCGTGATCCTGGGCATCTCTTGCTCTCTTGAAGCCTCGGTATTTGCTTCCGTAAAAAGGAGGCGAGGGATCCAACTGTCAGCTCCTGCTCAGGGGCAGTCGGGAGCGCAACTCCGGGAGGCGGAGCCCGGGGGTCGCTCAGCCTGCCTATCAGCCCGTAGACTCCGCCGCCAGCTCCCGACCGGTTCCCATGACAACCGACTAGCTGCCATCCTGGGGCGGACAATGTGCGTCACTTCCTGGCCCGTTTACTTCCGGGTCCTAGCCCCAGCCCGACAGTAGCTTTTTAGTTTCCAAAGTGAAATCCCACGGCTTCTGTGCGTGCTCTTCTGTCTCCCGCTTCTTTCTCCGCCGCCCGTGGGTATCGGCCTTTCCCCCGCCCAGCGCGCAGCCGCGACCCGGCCTCTCTTTGGACCCGCCTCCTGGGGACGTCACTTCCAGGCCGATTGTTTCCGGGTCGCCACTGGCCCCGGGGTACAGGTCTCAAACCCCTGCAGCCGGCCGGAGCGGCGAGAGCCCACCGGGGCCCGGCTCCGGCGGCGGCTGCGGCTTCGGCTTCTTCTCGCTTCCGTCGGCCGAGGCGTCCTCGGGGGCAGTGCCGGGGTAGGTGTCCGGCGGCCGCGTCGGAAACGGCCTTTGGGGCTTTCCCGGGCGGAGGGGGCGCCCGACTCCGCCGGACTCGGTGGCCAGGGAGCGGGTCCCTTCGCGGACGGCGGGAGCGATGGGCGGGCCCTCCTTTTCGGCTCCCTTGGGGGGCGCAGTTTCTCCTCAGGATCCCTCCTCCCCCAAGGGCTGCCTCACAGACACCTATGACCGACCATGGGTGGCTCAAGAGGAACACCCCCTCCTCGGCGAGTAACCCAAGAGAAGGATACTCCAATTCCATTGTGAGGCGGTTACGGCGCAGTGGTCCTCAGCCCAGTTTTCGGTGGCTGACCTCGCTGTGTGACCTTGGACAAGTCACTTAATCTTCTGAGCCTCAGTTGCCTAATTCATTAGTTAAATGGGAGTGAACCTGCCTGCTAAGACCGGAGTGGGGATGGAATGAGATTTCTCGCATACAGCAGGCATTCAGTAAATGATAGCTGCTGTTTATTCATTCACGGGCCCGTGGGGAGGGCCCGAGTTTGGGACTAAGGTGATTTTTTTTTTTTTTTTGGTTGGTTGGTTGGTTTTACAACTGACGTGGTCCTTCAAGGTTCTAGGAATTACCAGGCTGGGAATAGCAGCCGCCAGCTTCTGTCCCCTGCAGCGAGGGGAAACAAGCTTCCTTCCGAGCCCCTCGGAGAGGCCGCTGCCACTAGGGAAGCCCAGTTTCAGCACCGCCGAGGTTATTTTCAGAAGGTTGGAAGGCCTTTCTGATTTTCTCTGGAATCTGGTTGGGGTTTGGGGACCCTCTGGTGTTTCACAGCCAGGAGCAGGTGACTTGGGTGTATCTCCGGAGCCTCGGGAATGAATGAATGCAAAGGAGTGAGATGCGGAGGTGGAGGGGGTTGAACTGCTCTCCCCTCGCTGCTGTAGGAGGCTGAGGGAAGTCTGAGCCCGCTGAAGCTAGACCAGGGATCTGTAAACCTGTGGACTGGGGCAGTGCTGGGACCAAAATAGCTCCTACCCCGGGAGGGAGGGGGCGCGCCTTCACATGCAGCTCGGGGAATGTTTCTGCTCGAATGGGCCAGCAGAGGTAAAGCCGAGCTAATGCTTTGCTACCCAGAACCATTTCCGTTCCTTTCGGTGGGGTTTTAAACAGGTAGTTTTCCTTTGAGATGTTTACAAATAATAATTAAAAGTCCTCCGCCTCTCTGACTGCAGTATCTGTCTCTTCATCAATGTGCTTTTCCAAAGGGGCGTAGGTTGTGGGTGCAGGAAGTGCTGACCAGGCCTTTTGGCTAGGGGCACCTGCCTGACTTTGTTAGAGGTGTTCAAGTGCCCTTTTTTTTCCCCTCTTCTTCTCCGCCAGACTGGCACATCTTGGCTTTCCAGCCTTTGGGTTGCCTGGAGAAATTAACAGCTTCTGTCACCGCGCTGTCTGGGCTCCTGTAACCACGCTGTTTTTGCAGCGAGTGTGTTTTTGGTTCTTGCAGAGTGCTGGGACTAAATTGCTGGTTCTGTGCTCAGAAAAGACACCAACTATGACCAGCTCTAATGCACCCTGTATTCTCCGAAAATGTATTCAGGATGGCTGTATTCAGAATGATGTCAGCTGCTCACCGCTGGCCGGTCTCTGGCCTTGGCCCTTGAGCTTACATCACAGAGCTTTGGGCACTGCCAGCCCCAGGGTGTGTGGGAAGATGGGAGTTTTGCACTACAGGAATTTTTGAAACTCCTCTCTGCTCTCGCTGCCATAGGGCGTTCTAGCTTAGTTGGGCCCTTTTCAGTAGAGCTGTCCAGCAGACGGAGGGGGACAGCTTTGCTCTCAAGCAGTGCAGCGCAGAGCGTGAGTCCGAGTTGTGGTATCTGACGGAGTTTCAGATCTCAGATCCACTTCTTCCTAGCCTGGTGACTTGGGACCAGTGACTTGGCCTCTGCGGGCCTCGGTTTCCTCTTCTTTAACCTTGGGCCTGTCCTGTGGATTCTCCTTGAATTTCGTTGAGCCGCAGCAGAGGGCCCTTCTGTACCAGTCCTGTCGTGAAGGCTGCTAATTTTAACAACAAATGGATGTGATAAACAGGACAAAGCACAGGCCTCAGGGTCGGCCAGCTGAGGTTCAGATTGCAGCTCTGACCCTTTGAAACTCAGCTGGGCAGAGCCCTGGTTTTCTCGTGGCATTATGGCGTGGATTAAACGGGATGATGCAGTTAAAGCAGAAAGCCCATGGCTCAGCACAGAGGTTCTTGGTAATTGTTAGTTTCCTTCTCTCCTTTAGCATTTATTTTCTCTCAGCCTTTTCCTCACCTACCTAGGTTGGTTCACAATTCTTCTTAGGTGGATTTCCCATTCTTGACTTGAGAGTTAGGATTTTGAACAGCAACTAGGCTGTTTGGATCCTTTTTCCTTGTTGATTGTTTGCCAGCAACAAACAAGGGTGTGGACTGTGGTGTGATTACGGAGCAGCAGACTCTGAGCTGGAGGGTGGATGATGCTGTAAAAAAAATCGGCTTCCGTGGGCTCAAGGCTGACCTCCTTGGAGAAAACTCACGGCAGTGTTTAGAAGGCCGGATGGCCCCCATTTAAATTGCTCTCAGGTGTACCAGCAAACAGTCCTTGGGGCCACAGGCAGGATGGAAGCTTCTGTTAGACAAATACAAAGTGGTAAATGCATCCGGGTTTTTATTAGCAAGGGCAAGTAATGTCTTCTCTCAGGTTGCAGTACAGTTTTATTTCAGAGAACAGACATAGTTTGATACTAGACAGTAAATTCTTTCAACCAGACTTGGGGGCAGAGCTGTGTCATCTTGACTGCTGTCCCCTGCTGCTCCTGGCACCCCGTATCCGTCCCCACTGCGTCCAGCCCACGGCCTGGCTTGGGGTAGGTGCTGCGTACATCCTTGTTGAACTCAGGAACCTCGGGGTGGTGGGAGGAGCACAGCCTCCAAATCAGAAGCCAGGCTTGGAATCTTGGGTCCGAGTTTTACTAACCCCGAGCTACTTAGAGCGTGCCATGCCCCGGAGCCTCTGTTCCTTGGCTGTCTGGCTGATCTCCCAGGATTCGTGGGGGAGCTACAGAAACTAAGGCATCCTGATTGCTTACATCGTTCATGTCACCTGTTTTACCACACACCTGCTAAGTGCCAGGCTCTGTTCAGCATCGTGATGAACAAGACAGATGTGGTCCTTGCCTTTGTGGGGCTTACTGGGTAATGGGGGAGACATAGAGAAGAAGCTAGTGAATGAATACACAAAGTTGGTAATCTCAGATGGTGATTATCCAGGCTAACTGGATAAGGAGGGACCGGGCAGGTGGGAGTCACTGAGCTGGGGTTGTCGGGGAGGCCTGCTGAGGGATGGCGTTCGAGCTAAGGCCTGAATGAGGGCGAGCCAGCGATGGGGAGCCTCAGAGGAAGAACGTGCGAAAGGAACACGTGCAGAGGTCCTGAGGTAGAAAGGAGCTTGCTGTGTTTGAGGAATGACAAACAGTTCTTGTGGGTGGAACGTAGAGGGAAGGGCAAGACTAGTGTGAGAGGCAGGCACGGGTGTGGCCATGTAGAGCCTTTGACCTTGGTGTGGAGAGATCATTTATTCTGAGTGGATTTATGTTTACCTCTCCAGCTCCTCGGGCACATTTATTCTATTTGTTCCTAAACATTGGGCTTTCTTGGCAGGGCAGTGGGTGGGAGGAGGTGGCCTCTCTGAGTCCCTGGTTCTCCTGCATGTCTCACCCCGCGCTCCCCAAACCTGGAGAAGTCAGACAAATGGCTCATGAAGACGTGGGCAGTTTTACTGTCCTCACGAGTGTCGCCAGGCTGTGGGTCCCTAGGACTTCCTGAGCTGAGCGCAGACCTGCCATGCACTCCACAGGCCCGTCCCATCTCACCGTGGGTTCCTTCTTGGTCCCTTCCGATTTCCCACTGCCGGCAGGAGCCTCTCACTCAGACAGCAGGTACTTCTAAAGCACATACCCTGCTTAGGTTACCTGTGCTTAGGTTACCTACTGACTAATTGGGTCATGATCCCCGCACCCATAGAGCTGTGGTCAGGAAAGGCAGGACAGGTGAGTGTGAAAACGCACGTCCATCACCCACCGAGAGATTTGTCCCACTCTGATGTTACCTTCTGGAGAGAGCCTGGCATCTTGGGGGTATAGCACCTTCAGACACCCTGAAGGGCTGCTTGTCTGTCAAGGACTTCTTTTAGAGCTGGCACTCTGTGAAGAGCTTTGTATGTGATTGCATGCAGTCCTCCCCCCAGTTCTGGACTCTGGGTACTATTACCAACCCCCTTTTTCAGATGAGAGAACGGGAGCCCAGAGAGGCTGAGAAATTTGCCGAAGTAACCTAGAGAAGCAGACCCAGGACTCACACCCAGGAAGCCTGGCTGCGGAACCTGTTTGTCACCGCCGTGCCATGTTGCCTGCCCCCGGCCCTGGCCATACCCCTCAGTGAATACAGTATTACTGGCCCTGGTCGGGCAGCGCAGGTGGCTAGAGCATCGTCCTGATACACCAGGGTTGCAGGTTCAATGCCCAGTCAGGGCACATACAAGAGGCAACCAATTAATGCATAAATAAGTAGCACAACAAATCGATGTTTCTGTTACCTTCCCTTCCCTCTCCCCCTCCTCCACTTCCTCTCCCTTCCTCTCTCTTTCTAAAATCGGTAGATTTAAAAAAATTACTGCCGGATCTGTAAATGTTCTACTAACGGGTGGCCAGGCAGACCGCAAGGGTGTATAAATGCTGTGTCCCGGCTCAGAATGTTCCATCCTCTCCCCGCGGAGCTGGAAGCTGCTGTTAAGGCAAAGGGGGATGCAGGCCATCAGAGGCAGATGAAAGCACTTGCCAGGGGCCTGCAGCCGGCATGCTCTCTTTTTAAAATTGCAAATAGGATCCTGTCCCTCTTCCCCTTGCTTTGAACTCTTCAGGCAGGCGCTCCTTGTGGCTCTTGGAATAAATGTGAAGTTCCTAGGTGCTCTGTGAGGCCTTGGGGAACGAGCCGCCGCATATGCCTGCAGCCTCCCCCCCCCCCCCACCCCAGGCTTCTCGCTTTTCATGGCCAAGCTCCTTCCTTCCGGCCCCAGGAAAGCAGGGTGTGGTGGCTAAAGGCATGGACTTCGGCCGGACCGCCAGGGTCGTTGGAGCAGACTGAGTGCCTTGGCAAGCCGTAGTAAGACTGGTGGTGGTAGCTCAGGGCCTTCCTCCCCGCCGACACCTCTGCACGCTCATCCTTCAGGTCTGTCGCTGGCTCGGGAGGGCTTCTAGCACGTCTCCTTCTCCCCACGTGACCAGGTGAGGCATTCCTCATCGTGTCTTCCACTTGTGAGCTCGGCTGTGAAGTGTGCGATCCGCGCTCAGGAAAGGTGCGAATGAAGAGCAGGGTGAAGCCAGCGTGGCGGTGCCCACTGTGCGTTAGGGTTTGCGCAGCGGCCTTTGCCACGGAGGACTGACGTGCCTCTTGCTCTTCCCCTCCCGCAGCAGTGCGCCGGTCCAGGCGGGCAGCATGTTCGCGCTTCTGCCCATGGCCCGGCGTCTCACCCAGAGGCCGTGGAGGAGATAAGGTAGCCCCTCGTCCCTGGACCGGATGGGGAAGCCCAGTTCAATGGATACAAAATACAAGGATGACTTATTTCGGAAGTATGTGCAGTTCCATGAAGGCAAAGTGGACGCCGCCCCCAGCAAGCAGCGGCCTGGCAATGATGAGTACCTGCGGGTGGCCGCGTCCACCTTGCTCAGCCTGCACAAGGTGGACCCCCTGTATCGATTCCGGCTGATCCAGTTCTACGAGGTGGTGGAGAGCTCCCTGCGTGCGCTGAGCTCGTCTAGCCTGCGGGCTTTGCACTGCGCCTTCAGTGTGCTGGAAACGGTGGGCATCAACCTCTTTCTCTACCCGTGGAAGAAGGAGTTCAGGAGCATCAAGGTAAGGTCCAGGGAAGGGCCCTCCACACTGGTCTGCCTTCCGCTTTCTTGCCCCTTCCAGGCCGCCTCGAGAGGCCTGTGCCACTTTGGTCACACCCCCTGCCTGCAGACCCTCCCAGGTTCCCCCTGCCCTCGAGATAACCACCAGAATTACCCCCATGGCTCCTCACCCTGCCTGTCTGCCCAGTGTCATCTCTTAACGGGTCCCCGCCCATGGCAGCGTACATCTGCAGCCGGGGTTTGGAAGGGCAGGTGGCACCTGGGCTCTTCAGGGCCTGGAGGCCCAGGGCAGAGAGCATGGGTTTGTCCTAAGTGGGCTGGGAGGCAAGGCCGTGCCGGGGTCCGTGTACGTTTTCAGACAATCCTCCAGGCTGGCGTAGGGCAGTAGGCTGTAGGGGGGCGAGAGCAGTCGGGGAGGCCAGTGAGGAGGCTGCCGCAGGGGTGCAGCAGTGACGGAGAGGAGCGAGGAGGTGAGTCTGGGGACGAGGGGGTTCCAAATCTCTCCGAAGGCAGTGATGGCTCAGGGGTTTCCGCCAAACGGCCTTAAGTCTGACAGACAGGGTGGGGTGAAAGTAGGTTTACAGCAGTTTGTCTGGAAAATAGTACAATAGTTAATAAAAAAACAATATAAGCATAAACACCGTGTATCACGTATCTACGACTGTAAAGCTGCTTTTGCCCCACCCGTATTCTTCAGGCCTTTGCAGAAATGCCAGAGAGAAATGTTGCTCAGCGGGCCCCGCCGCCGCCCCAGCCCTCTTTCCTCACTGAGTGCTCCCTGCGCCTCCTCACGGGGAGTGGAGCTGCGGGGCCGGCCTGGCGTAGGGAGCTCGTGGCTTCGTTCCCTCCACTTGCGTCATTCCCACACACCAGTGCGCTGAGCTGTGGGTGAGCCTCTGCCTCGCATAGTGAGAGGACACGGGGGTCATTCCCTTCCCGCTCTGCGGCTCCCGCGCTCCAGTCCAGACTCGGGCGCGCTGCGCTGTGAGTCCGTCTGTCTCCCTGGGTGTCTCAGAGAGAAAGCCCCGCCTCTTTGTCTGCCCCCTTCCTTCCAGACCTACACGGGCCCCTTCGTGTACTACGTCAAGTCCACGTTGCTGGAAGAGGACATCCGGACCATCCTGAATTACATGGGCTACGTGCCTGACTTGGGGACGGCATACAAGCTCACGGAGCTGGTGGAGAGCCTGCAGGTGAAGATGGTCTCCTTTGAACTCTTTCTGGCCAAGGTGGAGTGTGAGCAGATGCTGGAAATCCACTCACAGGTCAAGGACAAGGGCTACTCCGAGCTGGACGTGGTGAGCGAGCGCAAGAACAGTGCAGAGGACGTGCGGGGCTGCTCGGACGCTCTGCGGCGGCGGGCCGAGGGCCGGGATCACCTGCCGGCCTCCGTGGCCCGTGTGGCCCTCCAGAAGTCTGCCAGTGAGCGGGCAGCCAAGGATTACTACAAGCCCCGTGTGACCAAAATCTCGAGGTCGGTGGACGCCTACGACAGCCACTGGGAGAGCCGGAAGCCGCCCCTGAAGACCTCATTGAGCCTGCGGAAAGAGCCCGTGGCGACAGATGTGGGTGACCTCAAGGACGAGATCATGCGCCCGTCCCCGTCGCTCCTGGCCATGTCCAGCTCCCCTCACGGCAGCCCCGATGACCTTCCATCCATCTCCCCCAGCAATGGCCTTGGCCTGCTGCGCGGCACGTACTTCTCGGCCCAGGATGACGTGGACCTGTACACGGACTCGGAGCCCAGGGCCGCGTACCGGAGGCAGGACGCCCTGCGGCAGGACGTGTGGCTGCTCAGAAACGATGCCCACTCCCTCTACAAGCGCTTGGCCCCCGCCAAAGAGTCTGCCCTGTCCAAGTGCCAAAACTGCGGCCTGTCCTGCAGCTCCTCCCTCTGCCAGCGCTGCGACGGCCTGCTCCCCTGTCCCCCCGCCTCCAAGCCCAGCGCCTTCCCCGGCAAGTCCTCCACGCACGACAGCCTGGCCCACGGGCCGTCTCTGAGGGAGAAGTATGCGGGCCAGACTCAGGGCCTGGACCGGCTGGCGCACTTCCACTCCAAGTCCAAGCCCCCCGCCACAGCCACCTCCCGCTGTGGCTTCTGTAACCGCCCCGGTGCCACCAACACCTGCACCCAGTGTTCAAAAGTTTCCTGCGACGCCTGCCTCATCGCCTACCATTATGACCCCTGCTGCAAAAAGAGTGAGCTGCACAAGTTCATACCCAACAACCAGCTGAACTACAAGTCCACCCAGTTCTCCCATCTCGTGTATAGATAGACTGGACCCCGCACCTCCCTGCTCCAAGGGCTACACCACTGATCTTTCTGCTCTCCTGGGGAAGGAGTGTTCACGCGCCGATCCGGGCAGCGGAGACCTGCACTTGACCATGTAGGTGCGGGGATTCGGGTTGGCTGCCCCGTGTGGGAGTTCACTGAGTGACTAACACGTTTCACCCGATGGCTGCTTTGTCACCTGACAAGGGAGAGGGTGGCAGTTCCGTTCAGATTCATCTTTGCTAATCTCTCCACTCCCTTTCTGTTTTTGAAAAGAGGATCTCTATCTCTGGGACTCTCGCCACATCTACCCCTCCCACTGCAAAGCCAACTTGTACTGGGAAGGGCCCCCCAGGTCCCCTCCAAATGCCCACCTGGGACGGCGAGCTAGAGGCCTGTTGGCTTGTGAAATGAGCCCTCCTGCCACACTGGGCCTCTTCCAGTGGCTCATCCCTTCTGCCATCCTCCTCGCACACGCAAGGACCCCCCTGCGCACTCTGCCCCGACTCCCCGCCCCAGGTTTCAAAGGGGAACCGAGTCCAGTGTTAGCTGAGTGTCACCCAGTTGCCATCACAGCTCAGCGGAGCCCATGCCGTGTGCGAACGTGGCTCCCGCGTGTCGGAGCTTGGACCTTCCACAGCAGGGCTGGCTCCCCCATTTCTGTCGTTTGCACATGCCCCTCTTACTGTACTGTAAATAGATATTTTTGAAATTTATTTTTAAATAAATATTCAACTTGCTGTGTGTTTCAAAGTGGTTAAAACATTAATTATGTAGCTATTTATAAAAATACCCTGGGTCCTTTAGTCTTCCAAGGGCGGCCCTCATGCCCTTCCATGCCGTGCCCTCCACCGCCCCAGCCCGAAGGCAGAGCGGAGCGCGTGGGGCAGAGGAGGAGCAGAGACAGCGCCCCGAGTTGGTGGAGAGCCGCTGTCTTCCCTACGATAGATCTCTATACACCTACCTCCAGTGTGCACTACGGGGGTGAGTGCGGGCCGGGAGGTCTGCGCGCCTGCAGACTGTGACGACCTGCCGCCGGGTCGGGAACCTCACCTGCGTGCGGATCCGCAGCCTGGCCTTGGCCGCGCGCCGAGTGTGAGCCTGCACTCCGAACTTCTCGCGTCTCTTCAGAAGGAAACTCCTGCGGGATTCCCGTCACCCCTCCATCTCAGTCACCTTCTCTTCAACTGTTTATAGGACTCTGCAACACCCGTGATCTTTTTGCACTAAAAGTGGGCGGGAGTCGGCGTGCGCCCGTCAGACACGTCTCCCGAGATTCTCAGCTGAGCCGAAGCGCTTCCAAACCCGGAGGCCCCTAAACTCCTCGTGTGAATGACTGGCCCCTGGGTTTTCCCGGTGGGGGCCAGAGCAGGAGTGGGGCGAGAGTTTGAAATAAAACTGCTTCCTTGTGAAAAAATAATATATTCTAGCCATAAGTGTTTGCGATGTACAGAACGGTGTAGGAATTGACCTGTGTAGGAATTGACCTGCGGTGGGTTTTCCGGTGGAAGGAGGTGTTCAGCTCTTGAACAAATTTAAATCCGGCTGAATCCTCAGGCCACTGTGAATTTGCTGGTGTTCTAACTCAGTGGAGCGATTTTAAGGTTTTTCAGATCTATGGCTTTTTTTATATATATCTAGTAGATCACACGTAGATATTCAATGTGTATATAAAGCCGAATTTCAGCCAACTTGACTACCAAGACCACCCCATTCTGGCGCATTTTTCTTCTCTATCCCTTTCCACATTTCCGAAGTGTCAATGCCTGGCCCACTCCCGAGAGCTCTAGTTTTCTAGTTCTCCATTTCCAGACCACGCTAGCACTACAGTTACTACTCTTTTAACCAACCGTGATGCCACGTAACCTACCCAGTGGACGAGAGCAGGAGCGGAAATGTCCTCGGGGAAGAGGCCAGTGTATGTACGTGTCGGCCCGGAAATGCTGGGGTCGCGGGCTGGAGCAGGCAGTGCCCGGACCCTGCTCTCCGTGTGTGTCTTACTGTATGAGCTTGCTGTGAGCGGGAGAGTGAACTAGATGCTAATTTAAACGTGCAGATGTTTTGCATTTGATTTCTATCAAGAGCTGAAATGTTGAGAGATGATTTAAAGAAATAATAAAGTGTCTTCCATTATTTAATAAAGTGTTTGGGGTTTTATGTCCCCCTTCCCTGTTGCTTTGAAGTTTGAGTTGCTTGGGTTCTGGGATTTTTTTTTCCCCTCAAGCCACATTTAGTTCCTTAATTACACTTTCTTTTCCATGAAACTGACAGATAATAAGAGCTGGCATTTGAGTGCTTACTGTGAGCCAGGCACTTTATTTTTTAATTTACTTGTATTTTTTTCATACTTTTCTCCTTTTTTTAAAAAAGGATATTTACTGATTTTAGAGAGAGTGAGGAAGGCAGAGAGAAAAAACTGATTTGTTCTTCCACTTATTTATGCATTCATTGGTTGGTTCTTGGGTGTGCCCTGACCGAGGATTGAACCTGCAACCGTGGAGTGTTGAGACAACGCTGTAACCAGCTCAGCTACCTGGCCAGGGTGTGAACTGGGCACTTGGTGACGCTTGCTATTGTGTAATAGCCTGAGCACTCCCATAAGGTAAGCACTGCTGTGGTCCCCGTCGTACGTACAGCCAGGGAGGTGGGTGTGCGGGATTCAGCCGTGGTGCCCGGGAGAAACAACTGCCTGCCGCTGCTGACTGACAGCCATTAAATAGCTTGGAAGGATGATGTGAAAAAAATTAATTCCACGTTTAATTCTGTCGATCCATTTAAATGCCTCAAGGAGGAAGTCAGTTGAACACTAGCTTGTTTTTAACGCAGAAAGCAGGCGTCAGGCTCAGAGCCTTTGGCAGAATCTGAGCTCGATTTTCAGTTACCTTCTTTTTGGTGTGGGCTGTACTGGCTTTCCATCTACAGCAGTGATACGAGGTTCCTTTAAAAACCTATCTAAAGTGTTTCTAAAAAATAACGATGGACTCAAAAGCAAAATGCATGGCAAAAACGTTAAGGGCGGTACAAGAGCAGCTGTGGTTTGGGACATCCTGGTTTCACGTGCCCGTGATGGTGACGGTGCTGACGGCTGCGCTGGGTTGGGCCCCTCGGGGTGGCTCAGCTGCCGGGGAAGAGACCGATCGGGCTTCTTGATTTCATGCCCTCGCTGGACAAATAAATACCCAGGCCTTGGGCCGGATCAGGGTCCAGGTGCTGGGTTTGGTTTTAGCTACAGCGTGGAAATGGCACCTGTCATCCTGGCTGCAGCAACAGCAGCTTCCTAGAGGTGAACCCCGAGCCTGGGAGAGTGAAGGAAGCCAGACACACGCATCCGAAGCAGAGCGGAGACTTCAAGCAGATTGCTTAATTTGTGTATGTAAATGACAAGCATATTTCAACACCAGCAGGCGCACCAGCTGTACAACGGTAGCTCTGCTGCCAGCTCTGAGCACCAGTCTGCGGCACCCAACGCGCCTGTGCCCGTGTCGGGGATGGGAGCTGTAGCAGGCGACGCAGATCAACCCCGATCCCCATTCACCCCTTCTCTCGGTAGGGGAAGCCCTGAGTGCCAGATGTGTGGCCGTCCAGAATAAAAACTGCCTTAAAAGTTTATTGGTTTTAGAGAGAAGCGTCGCTGGACAGGATAAATGCTGCTTTCTCTTTCTTTTCGCTTAGAATAATGATGTCTTAGAATCCCCGAGTGACTAATTTTTAATCACGAACTCGTTGATTTCAGTATATTTCAAGTGTTTCGGTGTGCACTGTTATTGTTGATGCTCAACTTCCCGTCTTTGGCCAGTAGGAGCCGCCTCAGTCTCCCGAGTCCGTCGGACATGGCCCTGAAATCTCGGATTGCTTCCTCGCGACCTGGTATGACGAGGTGCTTGAGGTTCATCGTGTGGTGTGGGTGTCCTGCCCGAGTCCTGCAGTTGGGTGTTTCTCAGGGTCCCGGGTCCTTGCACAGGGAAACGACATTGGGAGACTAGTCTGAGCGCTCAGGGAGCTGACTGTCGCTGTGCTGTTTCTAGGTGTGTTCAGTGGGCAGAGGTAGGAACAGGTTTGCGTTTCAGAAAAGCAACACACAAGCCCCTGCTTACACTGAAATTGAAATTCAGGACCACAGAGTTTCCATCTTTTCCCCCACACTGAGAATCCTGGTCCTCAAGGACTCCATTGCTAATTTAGCAGGGAAGCCACTGCTAATTTTGATTTTGCCACCCGTGACTAAAGCTAGTCCTGACTGATGTGAGGGCATGGCGGGCCTGGGGTGGCCCTGGGAGAGTGTCAGTTACTCACGGGAGCAGGGGCGAAGGACGAGGCTCGGGGCGTGATGAACTGGTCGCTCGCTGCCCTATTAGGAAATGAAACGTCAGGGGTAGAGGGGAAGCCAGGGTGGGTGACATGTGGTTCAAATGCAGTTCCTCACCTCCCCTCCCCACCCCAGGGGGACTCGGGGTCCTGCTGTTGACCTTTCCAGCCTTTCTCCCCACTCTCCCCACTCTGGTCCGCATCCCTGCGCACCGTCGTTTCCCTGCGTTGTCCGGCGTGGTCTGAGGAGGGCTTCCTGTGCTGCGCCTTCTGCAGCTTGCTCTCCGCCCGTCCCTCGGCTGCCTGAGATTTGTCCGTGTCCATACGTCTATTCTCACCGCGGTATATATTCTACCGCATCATCGTACCAGTTTATCCGTTATCCTAGGACAATCATTTATTTAGCTTGGAAGTATCCAACATCTTGCTGTCACAAATATTCTTGTAGGTGTCTCCCGGTGGGTAAGTGTTTCGGTGTGCACTGTTATTGTTGATGCTCAACTTCCCGTCTTTGGCCAGTAGGAGCCGCCTCAGTCTCCCGAGTCCGTCGGACATGGCCCTGAAATCTCGGATTGCTTCCTCGCGACCTGGTATGACGAGGTGCTTGAGGTTCATCGTGTGGTGTGGGTGTCCTGCCCGAGTCCTGCAGTTGGGTGTTTCTCAGGGTCCCGGGTCCTTGCACAGGGAAACGACATTGGGAGACTAGTCTGAGCGCTCAGGGAGCTAGGGCAGGCCAGGGGTGGGTAAAATTTTCTCTAGGGCAGGCCAGGGGTGGGTAAAATTTTTTTTGTAAATGACCGGACAGTGAATATTTTCAGCTTTAGGAGCTAAGAGCCACCGCCCCCCACCCAAAAGTAAGTACTTATATAATGAGAGAAAACAATTTTCCACAGTATTTAAAATTTCAAAACTTCATTTAATGGACAATGAAGTTTACATGCCATATAGTTTTCATATGTCATGAAATATTCTTCTTCTGAAAATTTTTTTTTCAAGTTTCATCCATTTGAAAATGTTACAAACCATTCCTGGCTCTCTGGCAGCACAGCGGCAGGAGGGGCGGGCCGCCCCCCGGGCAGCGGCCCCCCCAGCCTCGCTCTGTAGGGCGTGAGCCCAGGAGAGGGACGGCTGGGCGAAGGGGGACCGGCATCTGGAACTACTGTCCTTGGCTTTGCCAGGTGCTCGTCCAAGTCACGTCGTCAGCTGGGGCTGTCACCGGAGGACGAGACTGCCCGTTGCCCTTTGCATCAGTCACATGAAATCTCTCCGTGGACCGTGCGGCTCCTCTAGCTCTGGTTTCATTTGTGATCACACTTTGAAAAGTGGCGATAACACACTGTGGGTTCTTGTCATTTCTTCATGAAAGAAATAATATATATCAACAAGATATTTAAAGTTGCCCATCGTCCTTCCACTCAGAACCGAAGTTACACCTGCCGCCTGCCCTTCCAGATTCCCTCCTCCGAGGCTGACGCGCACACGCTGGTGAAGGCGCGTCGGGACTGTTCTCGTTGTAACAGGAAACCCCGCCGGCAGCGGCACGCACAGGAGGAACACGCGTCGTCTCACACGGTGCCCCCTGGAGGGGGTCCACTCCAGGACTGCTGAGCGCACTGGCCCAGCCGGGTCACCGAAAACGCCGGGCCTTCTGTCTCTCTGCTCCGCCGCCCTCCAGCGCTGGGAGGCCTTCCCTCGCGTCTCAGCACGGCCGGGCAGGCCCCGACTCGGTGGTCCGTCATTGTGGGAGGCAGAGGCCAGCCAGTGGGAAGGGGGCGTTTCCCTTCCTTGCGTGTCTCTGTGAGGGCGGGGGAACACTTCCAGAAATTCCCCGAGACGGTGCTTCGCTCTGCCGCCAGAATCGGGTCGATGGCGCATCCCTCCGCCATTCCCAGGCGCGGGGAGTGGGAGGACCAGGAGCGGCTTGGGCTGGGGGTGGGCCTGCTTTCCCCGTGACGCGTGTGGTCGCCCGTCATCCCCCCGAAATGGGTTTTCTTAGCAAAGACGGCAGGGCCCAGGGTAGAAAGTGGTGGTTGGGTGGGTGGCCTACAGATCTGCCCCATTTGGGGGTTCATGGGTATCTGAGGAGTCATGTCTGTACTTTAAAAAGAAATACAAGATTTCTACTACTTTGATTCATTTTTAATCATTTTAGAATCTCAAACACTTAAGGAGAAGACGAAATTCTTCTCTCTAAAGATGGTAAGATGCTACTGGCCTAACATACTGTAAACATCTCCATACCCTTAAATCTTTAATCGCTGGCATTTTATTATTTTTCTCACCAATTCCCCGTCGATGGGCAGAGGCTCTTTGCGGTTTCTCCTCGTTGTAGACATCGCCAGGACGGCCGCCCTCGGGCCGAGTTTCGTGCGCCCTGCTCTTGGGCTCTGAAGGGAAGGGCTGTGTCAAGGCACAGGACGCGTCCTGGCTTTTGAAAGGTGTCCGCACGTTGTCCTCCAGAAAGGTCTTGACCAGCTGGCCCTCCACCAGCAGGTGGTCACTTTGCCACAATATAAACCAACTACGTTTTTGTGGGGTGTTTTTTTTTTGCTTTTTTGCTAAGCAAAGACCTCTTTTCTTCCCCATTTGTGTCAGGGAAATTAGAGTCTTCCTCCTTCTGTCACGTGTGCAGTGGGGTCCCTGAACACCTAACTCCACTGGTGTGAGGAATGGCAGGAACCTGAAAGGAAGGGCGTGTGGCTACCTCTTCCTTCATGCCTGTGCGCTGACCATACTGTTCTCACCCAAAACACACGCCCAGGGCCCTGGCTCGTGTGGCTCGGGGGCGCACCGTCCTGCAAAGCGAAAGGTTGCCGGTTCCATTCCGGGTCAGGGCGCATACAAGAGGCAACCAGTCGATGTTTCTCTCCCTTTCTCCTTCCCTTCCCCTCTCTCTGAAAATAAATAAAACATTAAATGAAACAAAACATATGGCCTGGGGCCTTGAGGAACAACTTAATGATTCTGGCTGCTGCACCAGGGAGGTTTCACATTTGATTTCCTACTTACCAACCAGCGGGAGAAACACAGGCCTGCATTCTGGGGGCACTGGGGCGAGGGGACCTCTCTCTCCTCTCTTCTTGGCCTTTGAAGTTCTAATCCGTGGCAGAGCACTGCTGCTGAGACTCCTCCTCGTGCTTGAATCAGGGGCCAGTCCTAAGACTGTGGCACCCCAAGTTACAGGCAAGGGCCTGTATCTTGACAGCCATGACCTGCTAAGGAGAAGCTGGCCACCACCCTGTCCACCCTGGCTGTCCCCACCAAAGCAGAAGTAGGATCCTGGCAGCGGCCACCCTGCCGAGAACCCTGCCAGATGTGCGGCCTCTGTGGGAATGTGGAACCGAGACCGAGTGAGGCCAAGTCTTGCTGATAGCGCTGCTGCTGTGGGTTCCGAGAAGGGTCCCCACTCACACAAAGGCATCTGCAGGCAAACCACAGCCTGTCTCGGGGGACCTGGGGTGCTGAGGGCCTGCCAGCGCTCCGGGGCCGGCCCTGCCCCTGGGCCTCACTGCAGCCAGGGCCTGGCTAGCACGCCCACTGTGAAAAGAGGTGGCCGGCCTGGGGGTGGGAGTCTTTCTGTTTTGCCTCTGGGCTGAGCGTCTGAGCACCAGACTGTGGCACTGAGCCACCTCCTGCCTGGCCAGGCCACACTTGATCTCTGGAGACCCAGGAAGAGCCAGCTCCATTCCCTGGGAGGCCTCGTACCCTGAGCCTCAAGGTTCCCAGGGGCCCTGCAACAACAGCGCTGCAGAGGGGGCGCCAGGGGTGGGTCCTGGCTGCCGGGGGGCCCCTGCTCCCCAGGCTGGGCACGCCTCCCAAGTTCACTGGCCGGACAGCCAGCTTCCCCAGAGGCACCGGCCTCACACTCCAGTCCTTTCTCTGCGCGCTGTGTGTGGCTCTGCTGTCCCAGTGCCCAGACCCCAAAGAAAATAAGTGCGAGAAGTTAGTTATGCTGGATTTAAAAAAATCTTATAGGCATATATTACCTCAAATAAACTTATTACATATGCTAAAGGTAGACAGCAGGAAGTTTCGATTCTCAGGCAAAGACATTAGAAAAAATCCACCAGAAAAATATATCTTGGTAGACCTTTGCCTGCTGCAAAGGTGACTAGCCAGGCAGACGACTGAGAAACACAGAAACACAGATTACTCCGTTTCCGTGGAAATGCTCTTCCAGGCTGAGCCCTCACTCGACCAGCAGGGGGCAGAAGAGGCCAGCGGGAGACCCAGACTGATGCTGGTACCTGCTGCGGAGGCGCCCCCACCCCCACAGCTAAGCCTTGGGGCCTCCCACCATGCGCCCCACATGCTTGTCTACCAGTGCCACTTTCTGGTCTCAGCTAAAAGTGGCAGGCCACGCAGGACCTGGTGACAAGGGCCAGTCTGAATTGAAAAAACCTGTTTTCACTGCTTACTTTACTCTCTGAACTCCAAAAAAATGTTTTGTTTTTTTTTTCTGTCAAGCTATTGAGTTTGCAATGCAGCTTCCGCCTCCGAGATCAGATCCTGAGTTTTAGGGGAGAAAGTGAACTGCTTGTGAGTTGGGGGTGAGAGACGGTCTGGTCTCAGACCCCGGACCACCCCCCCCCCCCCCCGCCTCACGAGGACAAAGGTCCCCCCTCTTGCTTTTCCACCACAAGGAAACAGGAAATGACGAGACCAGAGCTATGCCCACATCATCCCTCCAGTGGGGTCTCAGGTGGAGCAAAAGGATCCTGTTTCCCTCAAATTACGGAGTTAAGGAGATCACAAAAACAGAAACGACCATATTTTAGCTCTATCAAGTACAAATTTACTTGTCATGCACAAAAAGGAAACTGCGCGCTTCCTGCCTGACCGGCCTTACCCTTCCAGGGAAAGGGAAGGGGTCTGGGGAGGGGCCCGGCCTCGTGGGCTGGACGCACCAGTCCTCAAAGGGCCCCGAGATCTGTCTTTCCTGACACCCAGGGCCACGCTGCTTGAGGCAAGAGGTGGACGTGTACCTGCGGCCAGCCCAGGGTCTGAGCTGGCCCCCTGGGTCCCCACAGAGAGCCAGGGGTGTGCATGTGGTGGATGAAACCACCCAGAGGGCGACACGTCCCAGCTGTAGCTGGGACCCTGAGCCACACGAGGGAACTGCCAACAGCCTGGAGGTGGGCAAAGGCAAGCCGACAGGAGGCCTGCTACAGGGCAGGCGAGGGGCGGGTGTGAGAGTCGGCAACTCCATTTCATCTGGACGGGACCGGCCACTCGCTCGGGACCCCGGTGTGAGAGAGGGAGGGTGCAAGCACTCCGTGAAGGGACTGGGGCCCAGGGGTCACAGTGGCTGCCTGGGGACTGCAGGCGAGGATTGGATGCACTGGCTGGAGTGTGGGGAGGGGCAGCAGGCTCTGCACCCGACTCCATGCGTGGGTGGGCTGGGACCCTGGCATGGGCGACAGGTGGCACCCAAGAGTACAGAACTGGGGGAGGGAGGACGTGCCAATCAGCAGTGGAGGTGGGCGTGGGTAATTGGTGGGCAGGCCGTGTGCAGCCCAGGAAAGGGGGCCTCTGGACAAACAAGGACCCCTAATAGAGGCAATCAAAGTGAGGGAAGCGGCCGCTGGGCTTGCACCACTTGGTTCAAGTGCATGAATTTAAAGGAAATCAGGCAGTGGCTGCTGGCCTGTGTCAGCGCTGGACCTCTAGCTCTTCCCTCTAGGGGGCAGTCTGACCCCACAGAAAAGGCACTCCCCCAGCCCCAGCCCCAGCCCCAGCCCCAGCCCCAGCCCCAGCCCCAGCCCAGCTGCTCCCACAAGGGCTCCAGGGAAGGCCTGTGCAGGCAGGCGCGTGCTGGGTACCAGTGTAAACATTCACAGTATTCCCAGAGAAGGCGGTGGCCGCCTGCCACCAGGGGGACAGCCTGTGAGGTGCCAATCAGAGGTACAGAAGAAAAAGGTCACTCCGTTTTTCTTTCTCAGGATGTACAAGGAACATCACCAAGGGGAGTGTGAGGTTTTCAAGGTTTCTGGGGCTGCCACTCAGGTCAGAATTGCCGCTGCTGAGGCCCACGGCGCCTTGATGATGCGGAGGCAAGTGGCAGCTGGCTCCTCGCCCAGCGGGCTCCCGGGGTCGAGGTGGTGGCAGGAGCTGGGCGTGGCGGACTGCAACCCAGCGCCCCCGGAGGACACCCAGTCAGGGCGGCTTCCACAGCAGGGCTCCTCCTCCTCTCAGGGGCCTCGGCTGGAGAGACGACCGTTTGCCTTGGCTACAGAAGCGAAAGGAAACTTCTGCCTAGACGGGTGTTCCCTCTGACCTGCGAGCTGGGAGCCACATGTCCGGCTCGTGAGGAGTGGAGCGGTGGCGTTTCAGAAGCCAGCTGGCTCCGCGGGCCTGCACAGTCTGAGTGACGAGCGCCTTGGCTGCCCCAGGCTCTCCTCCTCCCCGAAGGGGCCGCCAAATGCAGGTGCCCTGCGGCCCTCGCTGGGCGTCCTTCCTGGGGGCCAGGCAGAGGCGCCGCTCCGTCACAGCAGCTCCTGCTCGTCATCCTCAGAGCCCGAGGGGCCCTGGCGCACCTCCTCGTACCACTTGTTGGTGAGGGTTTTCATCTGTATGCGCCCGTGGTGGAGGTCCTGAGGCAGGAGACACAACCAGGCCAGTGGGTCAGGGGCAGGGGCAGGGTCGAGGAAGGGAGAGGAGCTGCTTTGTACCTTGGGCGGGGGAGGGAGGCAGGGGCCATGGCCACACGCAGTTTCAAAGCGGGAACTAAGTCAGGATTCTTCTTTGTGGGGGTGGAGGACACAGGAGGTGTCACTCAGAAACAGGAGTGGGAGACGGTGGCAGGATGTTAAAAACTGTGGCTCTGGAGTCAGACACTCCTGGGCTCTCCTCCGGCTTTGCCTCATGCTGGCTGTGTGACCTCAGGGGGCTACCTCACCTCTCTGGGCTGCAGCCTTCACTCCCAGCTGTCAAGTGCGAGAACAGCCACCTCTGCTGGGATTGTTGGGAGGATGAACCGGGGCGACTGTGAACACCGTTTGGTGCGGCTCGTAGTGCGAGCGCACACACCGCATCGGGACCGCCGCCAGTGGGAAATGGGGGGCGGCAGCCAGAAGAGCACCCCCCCCAACCCAAAGGCCCGCAGAAGGCAGGGTGACTGGTCGGCAAAGCAGGCCCGAGCTGGCCCCTGAGACTGCCCCCACCCGGTCTGCCACCCAGAGGCCAGCGGTGCCCGGACGATGGAACGAGCGCCTGAGCCTTGGGCCCCTGCCTGCGGCCCTGGAGAGTCTGAAACTCCTCAGCTCAGATTCGGTAGCTGATCAATGTCCCGAGTCTATCATCCAGGAAAAGCAAACTGTTAACAAGTCTATTATTAAACCGGCACTAAATCCGGCAGCGAAGGAAAAACAGCAGATGCGATCCTGGGAAGGAGAGCCAAGCGGGGGCGGCGGCCCAGCCTCCCCTCCCCAGCGCAGCACGTGAGCCCTGCCTCCCTGTCCCCCGTGGCCAGTGCCGGTTCTGAGGGAGGAAGGCAAGGGACCCCCAGCCGTGCGGCGCTGGCCTGTGTCCCACCTCCTGGGTCAGCCGACG